TGTAAAGGCGCAAAGTAATTTTTTTTCCAATTTTGAGATTTTTACATTTTTAGACTAATGTGACCCTAATGTGAATAAAAAATTATTTCTAAAGGTGCGTATTCATTATCCGAACGAACGAACGAACGAACGAACGAACGAACGAATGAAAGTGCGGTATATTTAGACGGGGACCGAACGCATGCGGCCGTTCGTTCGGTCGTGCGCTCGACCATCCGCTTCGAGTCGGTACATCAAAGGCGTTCGCCTGCGTGCGCTTTCAGATTTAAGGTGCGTATTCATTAAGGTGGGTACTCACTGAGCGAACGAACAACGAACTCCGAATGATTCGTCAAGTGTGTACGTAAATGCGAAGGCGAATCGAATGGCATTTTTAAGTTCGGTTCGCCGTCGCCTGCGTTCGGTCGGAGAGCGGTACATCAAAGAGATTCGCAGTTCGGTGTTGACGAGATTCGCGGGTTTTTAATTTTTTGGGGGAACTCCGAATCCGAATTTATATTATTTACATTTGGACGCTGTGTTTTTAAGTTTAAAAGATTCAAGATGTCTGGTAAACTTCAATGGACAGACGAACTTACAATTGATTTAATTGAAGCATATAGAAAGGAGGAATTGTTATGAAATCCTTCCAATAATTTGTACCATAACAAAAGTAAAAAAAAGATGCATGGAAGCAGTCTAGTCCCCTATATTTATCCCGACTTTGATAAACCTTTGACATCCAATGTTTTCTTTTCCTTTTTGTTTTTTTACTTTTAGTGATCCCGCAATAATTATAAAAGCTGATGCCGCTATAATTTTGTCACACATTTTTTCTGCTAAACAAACTCACAAACCGACGAAGCCAACCAAACAGCGAACTCTCTGCATTCGTTTCGGATTCGCTCATTGGTAGGGTACCTGAATTACGGCCGAACGAACCCAGAACCTTCGTTGTTCGGACTTCGTTGTTCGTTCGGAATTCGTTCGCTCAGTGAGTACCCACCTTTATCCGAACGAACGAACGAACGAACGAACGAACGAATGAAAGTGCGGTATATTTAGACGGGGACCAAACGCATGCGGCCGTTCGTTCGTTCGTGCGCTCGACCATCCGCTTCGAGTCGGTACATCAAAGGCGTTTAGACGTCATGGTACAAAGAATACAAGGTATGATCGATAGCGGCTCCAATTTCGTTCAGTTCGCGCATACCACCTGTGACGTCACTAGGAAAATAATGAATAAATAAAAAATAAAGAAAGTTGACAGGAGATCTGCAATTTTTGGGGTTATGGTTAAGAATTGTTTATTTTAAGACTTTTTAGTTCGTTTAATTTAATAATTACTAAAACCAGCAGTTCCAAAAATATATTTAAAAATAATAATTATCTATTAACATGGATTTGGACGATAGGTAAGAATACTGAATTTATTTCTATATTCGGTATAAAATTGTTTATTAGGTTTTTAGTTTGCGATGTTTATGGTAAATAATTTTCATTTTCATTGCCTCTGAATTCACATGAGGACAGAGTTGAGGATATCTATGGAAAAGTAACCACAAGAGGAATTGTTACATCATTTAAAAAATATTGGGAAGTTTATTGTTTCCCATCGAAAAGTAGAAAATGCCAATGCAGATGAACGTATTGTAATTGTGATAGAAGTAATTCTAAGGGTGAAGTTTATTATAATTAGTGGAAGTAATACCAAGGGTGAAGTTTATTATAATTAGTGACCTCTGCTTCTTTTTATATGTAGAAGTTTCTGGTTTTGAGAATAAATCGGTTGAACGACACCCAAAATTTAAAGGAAGTATTTGCATACCCAGAATATGCCCATCAAGGATTATATAGCTCAAATTTCCTTTAATGGTAGGCAATTATTCAATGCAAATTAACTTTTTAAGTGACTAAAATATTAAATAGTTTACAATATGGTATATCACTAAAAATATATTACTTTTAGGTACAATTAGGGCCCGATACATTTCAAAAAGTAGAATATTATTTTATATTAAATGAGGTATTGTACTAACAATCAATTTATATTAATAACGGAGATTAAAAAATAACAGAATAAATAGTTCTTTTTCTTATACTACAAAAATAAACTATAGAATACAACAGTATTTAAAAAAAAAAAAAGTGATGTTCCGGCCGAGATTCGAACTCCGGTCTCTCGCTTCCTAGCCCGACTCCTTATGCACTGCTCCATAGTAACTTGCTTAGCGATAATTCAATGACGGTATATAAACAAAAAAAACAGGTTTATAACAATATCTTGACGATTTGAACTGGCGCGCGAATGAAGAAATGCGTGCGGTCTTCTCGTGCGGTTCTATCGTGCGGTCCCCGTCCATACCACTAGCGAACATTCGTTCGTTCGTTCGTTCGTTCGTGCGGATAATGAATACGCACCTTAAGACTTTTGAAATTTTAAAAAAGAGGCAAGTAACATAACGTCACTATTTTAGAAGTAAAAAGACGGCAAGTGTAAATATTTAAGTTAAAAGGCGGCAATTGCTCTTTTCCTAAAAGATGGATATAAAATATGTCATAAAACTTGAAGTTATAAGGCGGCATTGTTTAACACCACCCTATTCGTTAAATAAGATCGTGAAATATGCAAAACAAAACATGCATGAGAATATATAAGAAATAATCCATTATTATCCCACCACATTGTTAAACCTATACTATTCCTTGTAGTATATAACTGTTATCATAAAACTACTTAAAATTTGCATGATGGCAATTATTTTAAAAAATAAACTGTGTTTAATAATATGTTACTTAAAAGTTACCTTATTTAAGTTAAAACATTAACAAATTTTACTTGATTCTAAATAGTGGCACGTCAAAGGTTTTATAGATAAAAGATGGCATTTGAACAGTTTTTGACGCTTGTAGCCTACTTCAACTTGTATTCAATACAGAAAACGAAACAAGAAAGAATTACCCAACATTTTTTTAAACAAAACTTGTTCTATTGTCTAAAAATACATATAAATAACTAAACACAGTATTTTACATTAATGTTGAACAAAATAAAATCTAATGTATATATTTTTATTAGTGAAGGACAATCGAAAAGTTTTTGCCATTTTTCTCAAAACTGGTTTCGTCACTTGTCGCCTTTTAACTGCCCATGGCAGTATAACTTTTTTATTTTTTTTTTCACATAAAAAACGATATTTAGTATGTTAGTATCTGTTAGTATGTGACATAAATTAGGATTGATTGACGTATTCAATTGTTTTCGGTCACATCCTGTTAAAAAAAGTAAATTTTTACTCCGAATAGAACATGCTATTTATTTACAAACGTCACAGATAATTTTTTAAATAATTTCAAACGTTTCAAATAATATAAAAAGAATTAAATGTTAGGCAACTATTGCACTAAATTTTTTTTGTAAAAGATCTTTTATAAAAGATATTTTATAGTGTAATACTAGCTAATACCATGACCTAATACCTTGCAAGTAATTATATATCGAGAAACTATGGTTACACGCGTTGAACTTACATTTTATGTCAGTTTAATGATACCGTATGATCGAAAAAAAAACGGCGTCCAGTTGGCTGGGAAATGACGATCAATGACATTTCCCATATAAATTTACATATAGAATGACAGCGATCTTCATTTCATAGCCATCGCTGACGCCGTTTTTTCTCGATCACACGGTATATCTTATTTTGTGCTTAGGCGTAAAAGTGTTTTACTTTTATGCCTAGATGTTAAAAAGAGTTTTTTATATTGTCAATCACTCGGCTTGTAAAATATGAAACGGTAAATAAACATCGATGACATTCCCCATATAATTTTACTTATAAAATAACAGCGATCTTCATTTCATAGCCATCGCTGACGCCCTTTTTTTTCGATCATCATACTGAACTTTTGTGACGCTTAAAAAAGTATATTTTTGTTGGTAGTTGATTTGGTTTGATGGATGACAAAATAATCGCCAAACAAAATAAATAAGATAGTTTATTTTCAGGAGGACTGTGCACAGATAAAAGTATTTTTAATAACGACAAACTTTCCAGCAAAATACCGTATGATCGAAAAAAAAAACGGCGTCCCGTTGGCTTGGAAATGACGATCGATGATTTTTCCCATAAAATTTGACATATAAAATGACAGCGACCTTCATTTCATAGCCATCGCTGACGCCGTTTTTTTTATCATACGGTATAATACGGGACCAGAAAGTTTTACACACGTGCAATATCTATCTAAGGAATAAATTCTTACGCATACAGGCACGCAGATGTGTTACACCATAAAATTCAAAATCCGGTGGAACATAAAGCTTTAAATTATAAGAATATTGTACAATAATAATTGTAATTATATAAAATATATTTATAATATAAGGATAATATCAATAACAATACCTATAAATATAATAATGTGAAACAAAATATTCATCCAGATAGTAATTCTTGCAAATTATTTCAATCCATAGCTATTCAGTAAAAATAATCGCCTAAAAATATTAAATCTGGTATCCAATTTGGCAATTATGGCATTTTAATTCTGTAGTCTAGACACTGCAGATTATGAGCTTTAAAAATATAGGGTACCTATATCATTATTTGAATCAGAAATACAATATTTTAATCAGTATAGTAATATTAAGACTTCCTCTATTACTACCACAAACTGCGTAGACTTATTTATTAATAACTAAAGACCTTGCCCAGAACTAATCTTATAGAGTATATTAATGAAAATTAAAATGTGTAGCGCGCGAAATCAGGTCAAAATGCACCATCGCCATTTTATACAATATTATTTAATATTCTCTAATTTAATACTAATGAAACTTTAATAACTTCATTTCTAAAACCACATTCATATATTTCTTGCTAAAAGCTGTATTTTAACTACTAAATTCAGATAAAATATTAATAAATAGATAATAGATATAATATGTACCTCAACCAAAAAAAAATAGATAAATAAAATTAAGAATTCAATTGTTACTTGGTTAGGCAACCATAAAAACTCAAGAATCAAGAATGTGAGGTTAGGTAAAAATGTTTGACAGAATATTTTAAAATGCTGAAATAATTTTATAAAAGTAATAAAATATATCTTCTTACTTACCTCATTTGAAATGGTCCAATATAATCAGTCACTGTCACTAATATCTCGAACACTAGTCAATATAAAATCCACAAATCTTAAGTTTAATGAGAAAATAAAAGGTACCATAGTAGAAAAATGGGTGGCTTATTGGAAACTAGTGGCAAAAGATTATAAAGATGTTGGAAGATCATTAAAACAAGATATAAAAACAAAACCATTGCGATCTGGTTTATATTTTACAGGTGCAAGTTTGCTAGGACTTTGTGCATCTTTAAACCCCGATATGCAAAGGTACTTAATATAATATTAAAAACAGGTATATTTAAAGATAATAGTTTGCAATATTCTTTTTCTTTTAGTTTTAGAGCAAAATATATTCAATCTGCAAATGATTTAGGGTTAGTTCCTACTACACTAGCTAACCCTCAAGCCTTAAATCATTTAAAATATATTGAGAGAAGCTTTAATCACAACCTTATTCGTTACATAAATTTAGGTGTTTTATCGATAATCTGGGTGGACAAATTTAGTGAAGATTGTAATTTATATGAAAATACTTGTTCTTATCTTCAAGTCCCATTTTGGGAAATTAGAAAGAGAATGCTTGATATAGGATTTTTAAATGTATGGTGGATAACATCCAGAAAAATGCTTGACTATGATATAAATTATTAAAAAAGTAATATACTTATATATAGAGTAACAAATGTATTTTTAATGTCTATGCACTTACCTTGAAACAGTCTTCATCCATAAATTTATCTGATGTAAATTTCTTCCCAATATTTTTTGGAACTGGACTCATATCTCTGGCACCAGAATCCCATTCCCAGCTATCTAACTTACCTAAAATTAATAATTATAGCCAAATATACACAGCTAGGAATTGTTATCAATCAAACCTTGGCTGTGGTCACTAACATTATCTTTACTGGACACCTTTAAAGCATCTATTTCAGGTCGTAAAGCAAGCCTCCTATTTAAAAACTGTTCGTATGATATTCTTCCCTGAGAATCAGCACCCAGTTGTTGCATTAACTCATCTAACGAATCTTCTAACGACAGTTCTCGACAGACCGCAAGTAAATCCTGGCTGAATATGTATTATAACTGTCAATTAAAAGATTTTACTAAATGGTTTAGATTACCTATCAATAAAGCCATCTCCATTAGCATCGCAAGCTTGAAATAGCCTTCGTACCCGTTCTTCATCACCAACAGAACTCGCAGACTCACTAGCGCAGTCCGTATCTGCCATTGTATATTTCACATTTAAACATTAAAAAAATATTGTCCTCTTTAAAAATACAATAATAAATATTCTTATTTAAACAATTAAAAACCTATTAAACTATTTAAAACCATTTGTATTTAGGTAAAAACCCTTTTTGTATTTTATATCCCCTGTTTTATTCCAAGATTACATATTTGGGAGATTTATAAACAATAAACAATTTATAAACACTATTATTTTGACAATTATTTGTCAGTTGTCTCAGTTCAGTTGTCAATAAAAAATTACGTGGAGTAAAAAAAATTTCGGACAAAAAATCTTATAAATCATATACTGATTTCCATTTATTTCTAACGACATCCATTTTTTTACTAAACAACTTTTTTATACATAATATAAGGATAATATAATATATTGACAAATATTAATTTACAGAAATTCAGCAGATTGGACGTTTTTTATCAAATTATTCAAACCTGTAAGGAATAGTTTTAGTACATATTATTTTTACGTATACAACCCTAGATCACATTTATATATGATTATGATTGTATCGATAATTTTAAAAAATATTATTTGCTTCTTATGTTTTTTTTATTCACCAAAAAAATGCCACTAGGTATACCAAATACTAGTAAAAAATTTAATTTGGGTTCACCAGTTTATTTAGGCAAAACAAATTAAACCAATATCGATATTTAGGTTCCAGAGTAGTGCTTTTGACACAATGGTTCTCATTCCTATTTTAACGTCATTCACGTCTAGAGGTGGGCCAGTCTGCGATTTTTGTGGAGCTGCTACGCTCTGCGACTGCTCCAATAAAAGCACTGTGACAAGTAGCAGCGATTTTTCGGAGCAATTAACCTATAAATTAAAAATGTAGTTTTATAGGTTAATTGCTCCGAAAAATCGCACTCGGTGTTCGGCACCGTTCGTTGCATTACTAAAAAAGTACAGGACTATAGGTGTGATTATGATAGGCAACATCATCGTCTAGTTTTTATTTATTTATATCGTATGATCGAAAAAACGGCGTCAGCGATAGCTATGAAATGAAGATTGCTGGCATTTTATATGTAAAATTTATGGGGAATGTTATCGATTGTCATTTCCAAGCCAACTGGACGCCGTTTTTTATTTCGATCAGTAGTGGCGATTTTAACGTCTGTGCAATCGGGGTAAGTCACCGACGGGCCCCAAGCCTCCCGGGCCCTTGCGAACAAGATTCGAACTTTTCCGAACTACGGGCCCCTAGAGCTCTTAAAATCGCGGCTGTACGGTACTATACTGATGTCTTAGTTTGATAGATGTTGCTATATTTTTTTAGTCTATTCAGAAGAATTTGAGTGTTTCTAAGTACCAAGCACTTTGCTATAAATATCTTAAAGAGTCTGTTCATTTTCACAGAGTGGTGGCCCATGGTAAAAACTTAATGTTATATTCAATTCAAAGTCGAAACTGTCAAAAAAATCTTTATTAGTGACCGGTTTCGGCTATTTAGCCATCATCAGACCTTAAAAATAGATATAAATAATAAAACTTATATGAATGTATAAGATCAAATAAAAGATTTAGGATATACAACAAAACACAGATACAAAATTAACTAACAAATAAACATACTAACAAGTTAAAAATTACCTTTGTCAAAAACATCTGTTTGTGATTAATATATAATACATAAATATCTTATTTAGATTCATGAAAGAAAAAGCGAACGCTGCTACGTTTCCCGTTCCCAAACTCCCAACAGCTCCAGTACACAGAATATACTCAATATACTATGCTCCAGTCGACTGCGACCTGCGACGACTGTGACTGGAACAGTCTGACCGGGCGACGGGGCTAGGAGCATTTTCAGAATTTACACTATTGTCTGCTATTGCTCCTATTGCTACTCACGAGCGCAGATGTCCTAAACTTGTAAACTGCTCCGAAATGTCACTGCGATTTTCTTGGAACTGGAGCAGTCACATACTGCGACGTTGGTGGAGCTGTGACAAAGTAGCGGACTGCGATTTCACAACCCACCTCTATTCACGTCATTCACAACGTCATTACTATCAAAAGTGCCAGGTGGTAAACTGTTTACAAAAATTAATGAATTTTAAAGTAAAATAATTATTTTTCGGTTAATCGGACTTATAACAAACAACGATATAACATGGTAATATGTAATTATATTTATCCGATATTTTTAGTGTCTTCGATTGTTAGTATATAACCTAATAATTGGTACCAATTTTAATAAATTTTAGGACGTTTTTTTAATGATAAGAAGAAAAAAGTTAACAATCTTTACTGATGCAAAAGATACCACTACAGTTTTAGAACTAAAGAAAATTATTGAGGGTAATGGAAGTTTCTTTGTATTATTACCATCACCTAATATTTTTTATGCGTTAGGTATTCTTAAGATTCCTCCTGCAAACCAGCAACTCTTTAATAAAGATAATACTGTTATGGAAGATGGCCACATGCTCCAAGATTATGGATTAAACTCAAATACTGCCAAAGCCCAAAGTCCTGCTACAGTTGGACTAGCAATAAGGTAAAGAAACAATGCTAATATACCAATACGACAGTTTCTACTTAAAGAGAATAATGTTGCAAGACATTAATGTTTGTTTTTGATTTGACTGTTAAATAGGACCTAAGAAATTGTAACTATTTATTTATTAGTTGTTAACTTTGTAACTATAAAACTGGGTCAAGTATTATGGGATATGTAATAATATTTACCTGAAATTAATATGATTTAATACAAGTAAAGATAAATTATTTATATAAAAGACAATTCTACACCAAATTGACTAACTCAAGTATTGAGTGTGACTCACTTTGTATTGAGTGCACTCTTTGTATTGAGTGCACTCAATACAAATTTATCTTAGAGGTTACAAGCTTCAATCTATGTACCTCTTTTTGTATCCTAGTTTGCTAGTATAGTTTCTAGACTATTACAGGCCTAGGTGGTAGCCTAACATTTTTGTTAAAAAAAAGTCAAATAAGTTAGCTACATATTGCTTAAAAATCATCAAAATCGGTCCACTATAACAACATATATTAAACTTTAACATACATCAAAATTTTAACCCTTAAGTACTCGCGTATGTTTTACGGACGTAAGTACTCGCGTGGCGCTTGAGAGGCGCCAGTGTAAAAAATGAGTAGAATTCATTTGAATTGTGCATTTTTATATACTAAAATAGATTATATAGAAATATTTAGGCATTTAAAAAAAAAGTTGCTTACATATGGTTTATATGAAGTTTTATTTCTAAATGTCTAATCGCAAAATTTAAACCTAATGCCACGAGAACAAAATTAATCATTTTGAAAACGTTCATTAGACACCTTTTTGGAATGGTCTGAACATATACAGGGTTGTTCACCACATACGACACGGAGTATTGTAGCTAAACAATTAGATTTATACAAATTGTAAGTTTTGCGTTAGTTGAAGGACTATTAGAGCTACAATTTAAAAATATTTTTACAAGATACAGAGTGTCCCTAATAAGTAAAAAATATTATAGTTGTATTTTTTTTAAATGGAACACCCTGTATATTATTCTATTTTTAGATTCTGCAATTGAAATAAAGGTAAATTTTATTAAGGTTTATCACACTTAAACCTTACCCTTTTTGAAATATATTTAATTTTGTCTAATTGTAGTAAAAATCTTAAGGCTTCCAAGGGTATCAAAGATTTTAATACTAAATATTTACTGAAGTTTATTTATTGATCAGATATTGTGTTCCCATAAGAAACAAAATTCTACATTATACAGAGTGTCTAAAAATTTATATTAAATAATTACTCGCTTTAAACGGCAATAACTTGTTTAATTTAAATAGAACACCCTGTATATTTTGCGAGAATGAGATGCACAATTTAATTGTCTATCAAATTGTATTATACCATTTTTCACCTATCTCTTCAATTTTTCGTAGCAAATGCATTTTCTTATAATTTAGAACTCATTTATCACTATATCCATGGAATATTGACATTTTAGATTGTTTTTAAAGATGTAACAAATTTTCAAACAGTACAGATACTAATAGTGTCCATATAGTTTGCTTATTTCATTAAAAAATAAAAAAAAACTGTTTTAATATTATTTGTTAGAGGCAAATTACATTAATTGACTGTTTACGTTGATTAACAATAATTGCTCCATATACTAAAAAACTGAATTTTGTATGTGTATTAGACAGTGTGGTAAAAAGTAATACCTTATAAATTTTATTTAATTTTTTGACGAATGCTTATTTAAACAAGAGACTTTTATATTGATTTCTCAGTCAAATTCACATTTATTTAGATAATTTATTAATAATAATTTATTATTTATTAACTAAAACAATTAGATACGTAATTAAATAATTTTTGGGCGGAAATAATAATGCTATATTTAAATGGTATACTCTTTTACAAAGATTTGAATACTTTTCTTTTTGTAAACAAATGGGCTTACAATATTATTATTTTTACCACCTGTACATTTTGTAAATATTATTTTGCTTTAAAAAATCTAAAATGTCAATATGCCATGGGTATGCATTTTCTATGGTAAATGCATTTTCTACGAAAACTTGAAGAGATAGGTAAGAAATGGTGTAATACAATTTGATAGACAATTATATTGTGCATCTCATTCGCGTAAAATATACAGGGTGTCCTATTTAAATTAAACAAGTTATTGTCGTTTAAAGCTAGTAATTATTTAATATCAATTTTTGGACACTCTGTATAAGGTAGTAGAATTTTTATTATTGCAACACAATATTTGATCAATAAATAATCTTTAGTAAATATTTAGTATTAAAAACTTTGATACCCTTGGAGAAATGAAGCCTTAAAAAATTTTTACTGCAATTTCACAAAAAAAATTAAAAAACGGTAAGGGTTAAGTGTGATAAACCTTAATCAAATTTACCTTTACTTCACACATAGAATTTAAAAATGGAATAATATACAGGTGTTCCCTTTAATAAAATAAAACTATGATAATTTTTACTTATTTGGGACACTCTGTATCTTGTAAAATTATTTTTAAATTGTAGCTGTGATAGACCTTCAACGAACCCAAAACTTACAATTTGTAAAAATCCAATCATTTAGCCACAATACTCCGTGTCGTATGTGATGAACAACCCTGTATATTTTACAATTAAAACATATTTGTTTTTAGTGTCTAAAAGTGTCTATTTTTTGACCTGGGGCATATTAGCTCAGACCGTAGAGGCCACCAGAGGATGCATTGTTTATATATAAACCTGAAACAAATTAATATTATATTGATTTTTCACGTCTATTTTTTAAAATATCGCCTCCAGGAATACACAAAGGCCCATTGGAGTATAGATAAAGTATTAAAATATATTTAAGTTTAAAATTGACGCGGCGCCACGCGAGTACTTAAGGTTAAGCTACCTGTTTTTCATACCGGTGAGTGTATTAAATGATTGAAATTTTAATAATGTTGTATATTTCAGAGATGATAATGGTGTTTTTGAATCTCTCGACTTAGTACCATATTCCGCACCTCCTGATCTACCTGATGTAATGAAATCCCAGGAAAGCAATGGACAAGAGCAAACAAACTAGACAAAAGTATTTAATGATTATTCGATTACAGATATTATTTATTACTAATACTGTGTTCTTTATTTTTTGAAAAATACATATTAAAAACTTATATTTAAACATAATAAAACTGTTTTAAATGTTTAATGAAAATAAAACAATATTTTTAGTGCATTATGAATATATTTTTGGTAAAATATCTGGGATTTTATATTTTTTGTATGTAATATGCCTAAATTTTGACTGTATTTCACGGAATATTTTGTAAACTAAAATATTGTGATAGTTTTTCTATTTTAGAAAAATTAACTCTCATATTATGGTATGTTTTTGCACACCTTGATTAATCTAAATAGTTGTATATTGTAAGCTTTTGTAAATTAGTTTATCTAAGCTATGAAACTTCTTAGGATATCTTTTTATTTGTTTTGTTTAACTTATTTAAACCAGATCCTTGTTTGTATTATATAGAAAAATTCATTTTCTATAGTATATACATTTTTATTTAAAAAGGCTTGTTTTTCAAATTATGACATCCAAAAATAAATGATTTTTTCTTAGTCTATTATTTTTATTCCGGTTAAGTTGCTGAACTGGTTATATCTCGGTTTGTGTCGCTACTGGATGAAGAACAACTCACGTTCCTTCTCCATTTCGCTCGTCTGTTCTGGAACCACGTTTTTACCTGAAAATCAAGTAGTTATTAATTATTTTTGGTGATCATTAGTTAAATGGTGTTCACCTGTCTATCTGATAGTTTTAATGAATGAGCCAATACCTTTCTGTCTTCTGGACTAAGATATTTTTGCCAAGAGAATTTGCTTTCTAAAGCTTTTGTTTGACTAGGTGAAAATCTTACTTGGTTTCTTCGTTTGGACAAATGAGAGCACAATGTGAGTCCAAATGGTAACATGTGGTTATAGTTAGTTTGAGAATACATCTTTTCTGGGTAGATAAATGTTGGGGTGTAATAATTACCTAAAAGTAGAAGAAAAATCTATCATATGTATTGGTTTGTAATAAGTACACATTCATTCTATATGCATTTTAATATTATGTATATTTATAAAAATTATACAGGATGAGACTTAAATATGCAAATATTTTTACAGGTAGTATATTTCGGCATTTCGGCACCAGAAACACGATTATGAGTTTTTTTCGTGAAACTTTGAAAATTGGATTTTTTTGGAAAACTTTTAGTTAAAAAACATAATTTCTTGATAATATGGTGACATATGATATATAGGTATATAGGGTGGTAACAATTTCCATGCTCAACATTGGCATCTCAGAAACTATACGAGAGATAGGAATTCGGTTAAATGGGACAAAAGTTGCGTAATTAGAAGTTTGACAAACACCTAGGAAGAAAACCCCGGTATCTTGATTAGTTTCGGATTTATGTCAAAAAAATTAAAATAATACGTTTATGTTAAATGACAATATCTCCAGAAGTATTGTATATATTGCAACGTAAGTTGGTAGTTTTATATTTTTGACTTCGGCCAATTAAAAATGTCGTTTTCAGAAAATATCTAAGCCTTCTAGATTTCGCACAACAACAGTCAAGTTTTTGTTTTCTTATGGCCGCCATTTTGAATTTTTATACTATTAGATAGAGCAAAAAATTATCTGTACGGTGGTATCTAATTTTTATTCATTATTATGTAAATTTACTAAAAAATAAATTTTTTCAAAATTCGCTCAAAAGATCAAGTCTGCCTTGGAAATTCCATTGACACTTTTTATGACAGCAAGTTAATTTTTGTTTACACTATTAAGTGTCAAATCTGGACACAAATATTAAGTGTATTAACAGTTAAGAATAGAAATTCCGATATAGCATGCGCAATTTAGAGAGAGTAATTTAGACTTATCGATAGAGTATCCGCGGAAGGCGAGCGACTCGGTTTAAAAATCAACATCGATAAGACGAAGACTATGATGGTTGGCAGAACCCCGATCGACCGTCTAAACATCTCGGTGAACGGCCAACAGATTCAACAGGTCCCGAAGTTTAAGTACCTCGGCAGCTGGATTACCGAAGACCTAGATCCAGACACGGAGATTCGAAGCAGGATCGAACAAGCCCGAGCAATATTCACGAACATGAGAACTCTGTTGAGTAACCAAAGCCTGAGTCTACGCCTACGTTACCGTTTTGTAAAGGCTACGTATACTCAGTACTACTATATGGCGTGGAGACCTGGACCCTCAAGGCAAAACTATGAACCGACTAGAGGCCTTTGAGATGTGGATATTTCGAAGATTGCTCAGGATTCCTTGGACTGATCGCGTGAGAAATGACGAAGTTCTGCGACGTATGGGAACGGAAAGAATGTTGCTTCAAATAGTTAAAAAACGGAAAACAGCTTACTTGGGCCACATATTTAGAAACACCAAATATCAATTCCTAAAACTGATTATGGAGGGGAAGATTGAAGGAAAACGTGGCATCGGAAGAAAGAAGTATTCTTGGCTTAAGAACATCAGAGACTGGACTGGTCTCGATGCCCATTCACTCTTTAGAGTCGCCCAAGATCGAGACGAATTTGCCAGAATTGTCGCCAACATTCATTAAATGAATACGGCACACTAAGAAGAAGAAGAATGCGCAATTTATAGAACATTGTGTCCTGAAAGGACACAGTCTCATCGTACTATTTTCGCAAGGATTTCTAGAAATTTAGCAGGTTGCTGGTAGCTTTAAAAAACAAGAGGGCAATATTTTAAAAGGCTTAATGATATTAATATGCCAGCTCAGATTGAAATAAGTCCGGAAACTTCTAGCCGTAAAATAAGTCGCGAATGTTGTATAAGCGATTCTTTTATGTAGGGAAAATTATCAAAAAACATAAATATCAACATTTAAGTGTGTACCAAATTTACATTTTTTTACATGCTGGTTATCACAATAAGAGAAGATTACAATTTTGCAAATGGTTTACGCCATTTTTTTATTTACAAATTCTGGTACCTACATTTAAAAGAAAAAAAAAATTATGCAAAAGAAAATCTTCATTTAATTAGAGAAACCAGACCACAAATAATCTGATTTGGTGATATACTGACATCCTTCGAACAAAGTTCAAATATCAGACAGAGTCATTTTAATACAATTTCTTGTATTGACCTGTATTGAACTCTACTAATTTTTGTGCCTCAAGACTTAATAGAATAAACAAAAAATAACTTGCTGACATATAAAGTGTCAATTGGATTTCCAAGGCAGACTTGATCTTGACCTAGGCGTATTTTTAAAAAATCTATTTTTTAGTGAATTTACATAATAATGAAAAAAAAGTAGATGCCACCGTATAGACTTTTTAATAGTATAAAAATTCAAAATGGCAGCTATAAGAAAACAAAAACTTAGCTGTTGTTGTGCGAAATCTAGACGGCTTAGAAATTTTCTGAAAACGGCATTTAGCTGGCCGAGATTAAAAATATAAAACTACCAACTTACGTTGCAATAGATACAATAGTTTTGAAGATAATATTGTCATTTAAAATAAACGTATTATTTTCATTTTTTTACATAAATCCGAAACTAATCATAAGATACCGGGGTTTTCTTCATAGGTGAGTGTCAAACTTCTAATTGCGCAACTTTTGTCCCATTTAACCGACTTCGTATCTCTCGTAGTTTCTGAGATGCCGATGTTGAGCATCGAAATTGTCACCACCCTGTATAGTAGATTAAATTTACAAGAAAAGATCCAGTGGTTCTGAAAATTTTAGCAAAAAATAATTTTCGGGGGAATTTTCAATATATAGAAAATAGGGAAGTAAAATAACTCGGTTATTTTGGATTTACTTGAAAAACGGTAAAGAGGAAATATGTTTCTTTTATCGAGATCTACCAGCCCTGAATATTTGCATTTATTTAAGACTCACCCTGTATACAGGGTGGTCCGAACTGTATTCCAAAAACTTCTTGAGCATATTTTACTGATAAAAATAACTAAAAAAGTTCATATAAATGTATGTCCGGTGTAGAAGTTTCATTCTTATTTCGATTTTATCCAAATAATTTCTGAAGTAACGTCAATATTTGGATGAAAATTGGTGTCTGGGAGTTTTTTGACATGAGAAATTTGATTTTAATGTCAAAATGACTCCTATTTGTAGGGGGCGCCACCTACATGTATTAACTTAAGTAATAACTTTTTGTCCGTACCTGTATAAAACTACTGAGTGAAAAAATATACATTTCCGTGATTTTCTACGTAAAAAATGTCGTTTGATAAAAATCGCTACGAGCAACCGTTCTCAAGATATTTACAATGGAAATAGTCAATACCTGTCATTATTGACTAAAAATAAACATGTTGAGTAGATAGTTATTTGACTGACATGAGAAAATTGGGAACTTTTTATTTTTTTAAACTAATCATAAACTTTTCTTCGAAGAAATGATGATAAAACAGTTTCTGTTGAACTTTTGACACAAAAACATTGCAAATTTATGATTTTAGTCTAATAACTAATTAGTCAACATGTTTAATTTATGTCAATGATGACAAGTATTGGTAATTTCGATTCCAAATATCTCGAGAACCATTACTCGTAGCGATTTTTACCAAGAGACCTTTTTTACGTAAAAAACATCGTAAATGTATATTTTTTAACTAGCTAGTTTTATACAGGTACGGACGAAAAGTTATTACTCTTTAAACCAGTTAAAAAATACATAGGTGGCGCCCTCTACTAGTAGGATCCATATTGATATCTAAATAAAATTTCTCATGCCAAAAAACTCCCAGACACCAATTTTCATCGCAATATTGACGTTACTTCGGAAATTATTTGGAAGAAATCGAAATAAAAATGAAACTTCTACACTCTGTATCTCCGAAACTAAGCATTTTTGGACATACAATATAAGAACTTTTTTACTTATTTTTATCTGCAGAATATGTTGCCGAAGTTTTCGGAATACAGTTCGGACCACCCTGTATATTATACTAGGTCTGGTCTGCGTGGTTTGTATTTTAATGCATGCGACAGATAAATATAAATGATCGGTGGAAAGACAGAGAGACAAAATGAAAAGCGGGAGACAGTGCTGCCGGTTTTTACGTTTATAGAAAAATGTGTGTAGAAAAAAATAAACTTTATCGAAAACTTTCATGTATGTATACTACTGAAATCAAGATGATATATCTAAGCTAAATATAATCTACTACATTTATAGTAAAGTGAGTAATTAATTATTGTGAAAAATAAAGTTCCAACCCTAGATCCTAGATGCTCAGCAAGAAGATCCGGCAAAACGGCGTAGAAGAAATGTATCAACCAAACTTATTATTAAAACAAACTTATTATTATTACATCTTCATTAGGGTGGGCAGACGGACAGACAGACGCTCAAACAGACAGACAGACGGACAGAAGTTTCAGTTCAAAAATACGCACGTAGTGCACACACAATTTTTTATTCGAAACAATGTTTTTTTTATTAATATTTTATCTTCTGTTATTATTATTTTGGAAAACATATAATTTATAGATAATGCAATGTGTCTAAAGCTTAATCGTGTTAAGAAATATTTAATATTTTTAATGAAATTTAAGTTTGATAGCAAATGGAATTTTACGGTACACTCTGAATATATAAAACGTGATATCAAAAAAACATACGTATTAAAAACAACAATTAAAAACAATACTCAATTATATTTAGCAATTCGTTTTACGCGGGCCCTACAACTAATCCTTTATTGTTTGATTATTAGCCCAAATTACTTGTTAATAAGGTAGCTGCGAGTATCTGAAATAGTCATCGATCAAAGAGGTTTTGTAACGCAGTATTAAGCGTTTGCCAAAGGCAATAAATGTGTCAGATAGTTGTTCTAAATTTGATAAATTTGTTATTTTTATTACACATTATGGTTAGGTGATCTTGGGCCCTAACAGGAATAGTATTATTATTTAATGATATTGGTATCTGAGTTAAAAATATAATTTTTAGT